TTTTCTTATCAGAATGATCAGAGTGAGTTTATCAAGCTGCTGTACCTTTGTAATCACCATTACACTCATCCAACTCTTTCTGAATCCTCTGCACTGACCTCAGATTGATACCCAAACACTCTGAAATGTTCATATTGAAGGTTCTGGCATGAATGCCAATCTGTATAGCATGCTGTTTCCAAATTTCAGGTGGAGTGAATTGCATCATGGTGTTCTTTTTCTCACAGATGGTGCCCAACTGACTTTACTATACTGTGCAGTTGACAAAATCTAAAACAAACAACATGCATTCATGAAATTAAAAATATAAAATGGCGACAATTTACACATCGCACCCTGTAGTAATTAATGCCATCAATTTGGTTTGAAATTTATCAGACCATAGATGATTTTTTTTTAATTAACTACTTCATAATGGAAACACTTATATCTGAAGAATGATGAGCAACCTTTTGCAGAGAACTTTTGATGCAATGTGAGGATTATTAAAAATAATCAATTAAAACATCATGATATTAACATTGGTATAAGTATATTATGCCAGTGTTAGCATGATGATGTTTTAATTGGTAACTCCAATAATCCTCACATTGTGACCTTTAGCTTCACATGAGGATAAAGGTTCAGTTACTCAAATAGCTTTCTCAAATTACCTGTAACTTCTCATACCACTATTACATTATCTGCTTATATTTCTGAGATGAGGTATTATGTACATTATTTACATTATTCGGACTATTGTCTTCATCTTTGTCACCATATCTATTACAACATTTCAGCCATTGTACGCTCCAGCCTTCTTCAGGTGGTTGGAATGTTGAACTGAACCCTTTATTTCGGCCACTAGGGTAGACTGTTCTAGTTTCAGGTGCCATGTTTAATGGTTGTCAGTTATCAGTTATCTCCTGTTAATTCCCCTTTCCAAGTTCTCCACTGCCTTAACCGGGTATTGAACTCACAATCTTTGATCCTAACCAACGCCTTTATCCACTGTGCCATGTCAAGGACACATGGCACAGTGGATAAAGGCTTTAATTAGATCCAGTGGCAGGAAAGATACATGATCGCCTAAGTGTGTATCATGTATGGCACATAATTGACTGAATTCTTTTATTATTTGTATTGTTTTTATTAATAAACAAGAGAGATCCTTAAAGAATTACTCTTGGCCTTTAGCCAAACGTATATATAAATACATATATTTGGTGTCAATCCTTCAGCCGGAACCCTCTGTCCTCTCCTTGTTTTTAAGTTTATTTCATTTTATTTATCATTTCATTTTTTATACCTGCTTTTTTATATGAAACATCACTGCCTAAACTCAGTAATCTTATTTACTGTTTATTTTTTATTCTTATTTTTTTTTCAATAGGAGTTGATAGGTTCATCTCCTTCCCTTGTCTTTTGAACAGAAATACAAGTTTATCACTTGTTTCCAATTTAGGATTGGGTTTCTAGTTCCTACTAAAGTCTACTTCAACTCTATACTTCTAATGTCTATGGCTGAACTCTGAAATTTTATTTATTAATTACTTTTTTTCTTCTCAATAAGAGACTCAATAGGTTCACACTCTCCCCAGTCTTTTGAACAGGAGTAGAGGTTTATCTCTTGTTTCCTGTTTAGGATTGGGTTTTTGATTCTTTATAAAGTCTTTTTATTCTCTCCCAGTAGCCTCTTGCCTCCTAGCAGCATTATTACCTTGCTTGGGTTGAACTGATTAATATATATATATATATATTTTAGGGGAAAGAATATGACAAAGTGGAAAAAAATTTTGTGCAATGCATTTTATCCTTTAGGACTTCATCAGACTATATTAACATTGATGTGACAACACATGTGCATGAACCAGAGATATTGGGAATTTAAAGTTTTAATTTTTTTTTTAAATATGTGTTTTGGGTATATAATCTAGCCACTTTCATTTAGATTATTTTTTTTTTGTTTATGTTTCCTTCACATTTGTCATTAAATATCTCACATTGTGATAAGAGAAAATCTGTCAAGAATGTTGAAATGTCAGAACCTGGATATACATTTACTGTGGTTGATCTAGCTATTTAAGCACTTTCTAAAAGTTTTTGTCTTGGTAAACCGTTTTCTCTTTTACTTAGATTAGTATTTTTTACATAAAAATTGTGGTCAGTCTTGTTATAATGAGCAGCTAATGTATTGTTTTAGAAAGAGGTGAACATCATTATAAAAAAGATGCATTCTTTGGAAAGTTAGTGGAGTGGCTTAGATTGGTTACCACTTTGCCTACTCTGCTATTTAGCCCATAGATGGTGGGGAAGAGACAAATTTGTGTCTTACTCTTTGAAAGTGAACAAAACAGTCTAGCTTAGAAATTGAACTTGTCTCACCAGTATAAGTTAGTCAAAGGCAAATAAACATCACCAAGATCATAAATTGGGTGAAATTTATAATCATGATAACATAAGTTAACCTTACAGAGAATGTTTCAGATGAAATTAAACACAGTCATAAATAGTAAGATCTAGAGAGGTCATATTACATTTGTTATAATGTTGAAGCCCTTAAAAAAGCCTTTTTTATTTTTAAATAGAATGTGATAAGATATGACATTGTCTCTTGTCTGGGGTTAAAAGACCATTACCAATGGACTGAATATGTGAACAACAACAAATTTTTAGAGAAAATGGAAACAAAAATGACACATCAGAAAGAGATAGTTGAAATTTCTGGGTCATATACTGAGGAAAGAGTGCTTGGAAAATATGATACTCACAGTACAGACTGCAGGCAAGAAAGACAGAGAAAAAGAACACATAACTTACCTAGTTAGCTTGGGTAAATATATGATGATTTAGGAGAGATAACAAAAAGACAAAATTTATTGAGGGCTACAAAGGACAGGAAATTGTGGAGAGCTATGATCACCAGTGTCCTAAAGAGTCATGACACAGACAAGAAGAACTTGAAATTTCATAATATTCCTTAACAGAAAAGAGAATTAGTTAATGTTTGGAACTGTTTGGTCCATATTGATGTATCTCAGTATTTTATATATCTTATTTTTTATAGTCCCTTTTTTGTTAGTTCAAATTTAAGCTACCGGATTTTGCCATATTGGTTAAAAAATATTAGTGTATAAAAAATAAGAAACCATTTTCCTATGAAAAAGCAGGTACTTACTTATAACAAAAAAAATGTTATTAGCTCAAGAAACAGATGAAGAAATGACCAAAAGAAATACCCACACTAATAATAACTCAGGAAGAAATGGTCCAGAAAAAGCAATAAAGATAATGATATTCCTGAGCTTGTCTCAAACCACCAAAGAGCTTTATTGTTTTTATGGAACATCCCCACCCCATATTACACAAGACTTTCTCACTCCCCTGTAAACTCTTCTTTTCTGATCTCTCTTGCCCTTGTTTACTCTCATCCTCCTCTGGCTAATTTACTTTAGCCAGGCTTTGCTTTGTCATGCAATCCCTTCTTTTGTTATACACTTCTCCCAACCCCCGACTTTTGTTCTAAACCCAACTTCTTCAGACTTCCCCTACTCCTATTCAAGTCCACCCACCGTGTAAGCAACACTACTTCTATGTCATTTCCTGATGTCTTTCCATCTTCAATATGCCTTCCACCTCTCAGACAACCATCAATTACTTGCAGAATTATGTTACAACTTCCTCTTCCCTTCCCATACAGGGGTCCAATATTGGTGATGGGCAGGTTCTCCTTTTTCAGTCAAATGGTGTTGTTGGGAGGGTGTGATCCAACTGGTTTGGAAAAGCCAATACAAAAACAAAACAATGTTGAGATAATGTCAAACATGGTAGTTTCCATCACTGATGGAAACAATCTATATAAAATGACAAAGAAATTTTGATGTTTACTTATATCTATGACAAATCTTCAAATGTTACTATAGTGTAAATTCTTTTCTATCATTTGACTGGTGGTCCTTGGATTAAACTGCACTGACAAGCACCCAAAACATCAATGTAAAATTCTAGCTAATTATTTTTTTAATGATCATGATGTAATTCTTCTTCTTCTTCTTCTTCTTATTCTTCTTATTCTTCTTATTCTTCTTCTTATTATTATTCTTATTCTTATTCTTATTATTTGGGTAACCATGGCTCTTCACAACTTCCTATCATTTGTAGCTCTTAGTAATGTTTGTCTTTTCACCATCCCTCCCATAGCCTGTTCTGTTATATGACGTAATTACTTTAATTGAAAACATAAGACAGAAACATTTTGCTTTGTCACATTTAAGGTTACATAATTCTAGATTTTTTAAATGAAACATTGTTAATTATTAATTATTCAACTAGTATTTTTTCCTATTTTAATTTCAGTTGCTTTTTATCTCAGACTGCCATTTTATGGATGTCATGAATGATATAAAATAAAAATTAAAATAAACCTTTCATGTGCTTGAACTCATATCCTTTGTTTTATCAGAAATCCTGCTTTAACTTGAAAGTTATCTTACTGATATGACCAGAAATCCTTTAACTTGCAGTCATACTAATTTATGAATATACCCATTCCTTATCTTACCAGCCACCTGATACGTTGCCATTTTATTAACATATACTATTAGTATTTGCTGTAATGTGTGTGTGTGTGTAAATGTAATGGTTAATGAAAAAATTAAAATTCAAAGAATAATAATATTATTTCTTATTAGGCTGGCTGGTTAGTTGATTGGTTGGTTTGCTTGATTTGTTTTTACAGTTTGTCAACCTTTTCATAGGTTATTTTAAAGCCGAAATATATTTTTGGTTTTTAAGAATAATGACTTTTTTTTTTTGCTAGTGAATATTCTTTAGAAATAATAATGATTTTCTGATACAAGTTCTACTATTTAACCCATAGCTGGAGGGAGTAAATGGGAATTCATACTTTTCCCAAGGGTATTTGAACATAAGCGAATGTAACAAACCCAACTGAAATTCAAACTTGGGTCTCCAATTTCTCATTCCAATCCAATATCCATCACACCACCTGCACACCCAAGCTTACAGCACCTGGTATTCCCAAGTGGCCACCCATCTAAGTAATGGCTAGGCTTGATGTTGCTTAACTTTGGTGATCATACGAGGAATGGTGTTTCAAAAAGATATGGCCATAAACCTGTTAGGCTAGTAGATAAAATAGAAGCAGAATAAGATAAATGAATTGAAGTTGGACTTTTTTTTAATTATGTCTAAAAAAAAGTTGTATTGTGTATGTGTAGATCTGTTGTAGGAATTCTAAACTCTGTGTGTGTGTTAAATAAAATATTTAGTAGATCAGCAATTAATTTTTCTCTTATTTCAATGTGTGTAGGAAAAGATGCTGGTCAGGTGTTTACATTTTTTTTAAAATCCTTCCACCCCATGCAAGGCGATAATGCCTCTAAGATGCAAGAGGTTAGTGGGAATGAAAGAAAATGTGAAGATTTTAGTGAGGAGAAAGGAAAAATAAAAGAACAAGAATCTGAAAGACAGAAGATGATGATTGGTGTTGCATTGAAAGTTTTGATGATTGTAGGTGACAGGGAAGCAATAAATTGGAATGGATTTCCACAGGTAAGAAATGAAACTGTAAGAATTGAAGTGATGAATGCATCTAGCTAATTCAACAATAAAACTAGACCTGGTTATCAATTGAAAGTTTATGAGAACAATTGCCATGAAAATATTTGTGGAAGAGACAAAGGGAAGCTACATCACATCAGTGGGAAAATGACTGAAGTTGGAATGCCAGATCAGGATCAATTAGATTACAGACTCTTCTTTGGATTTGGTCAAGAATCTCGAGATATATAGCACCTACACCAGATCAAATTATATATAGCACCTACACCAGATCAGATTTGACAGCAATATTCAATGCACAGAAAAATGATAGATTTATAAATGTGCAAGATAGATTCTGGTGAAAAAAAAATTCCTGGCACAACACATTGAATCAACTTTCCTAGCAGTAGAACTTGTAATTGGTTCAATATAATAACTCCACTTCATATTAGTGGAAAATATGAGCCCAAGAAGGAGCAAAGAGTTGCTCTCCTTGAGGTTAGCATCTGCCATACTGATGGTAGGCAATAAAGGTTCTCTATTGTGATTAAATGAAACCAGTTCTGTTTTGGGGGCATTAAAATTTACAAGCCATTTCTTGCCCCAGTAAACAACTGATTGGTGGTCCTTTACAAGAGCATTTGCAAATTTTACTTTGTCAAACCTGTCAGGCTTGCTACTAAGACAGGAGTAAATAACTGCGTCATCAGTATAAATATCTAGTTGGGAACTAATGTCATCGGCATAGTCATTGATGAAGATAAAAAAAACCTTAGATCCAAAGATCCTCATATTAATGTGAGATGAACTAAAAGCATGTCTATTGGATTTAGTACACAATTTGTTACGAGTGATTGAATTAAGCCAAATATTTGTCCAGAGAAACTGTAATTCTTGAGTATCTGGAGAAGATCAGCATGCCAAAACCTGTCGGATGCCTTCAGGATATCTAGAGTCATAGTCCAAGCTTTGCCATTCTTATCCAAAGCTTGACAGACAAATTCAGTTATAGCTGTTAACACACTGGCAGTAGACCTGGAGAAACAGAAGCCATTTTGTCTATATATATATATATATATATATATATATATATATATATATATATAGTAAATTTAGAATCAAAATTCATACTTTGGGTTTATTTTATGAAGTGTTCATTAAAAAAATTGTCTTATAACTGAATACTTTCAAATAAATATTTAAATACATATTAGTGCAATAAAAAATACCTGAGATCAATTCCTTAGTTTCTAAGCAGAGGAAAAAACTTATATTTTAATAACAAACCCTACATAAAGTGTTTTGTCATTAATCTTTAATTGCATTTATATATTCTTTTAAATAGCAAACTTAGTTAATAGTAATTTGTAATATGTATAAAACAAAATGAATTTAGGCAGATTCGTGATGATCTTAGAAGTTATTTTATCCTAAGTTAAGAGTTAGACCAAGTTATTTGATTACATTAGAATACAGTGAACATCTAAAATTATCAACTTTTCTGTTAAAACTTATGATTTTTTTTGTAGATAATAAAAAGTCCAAGAATAACAATAGCAAGTTTAATTTTTTTTTTTTGACTGCTTTAGATATTGTTGCTGAAGTTAGGGAGAAAATTTTATGAAAATTGTGATCCCGAAATCTGAATGCAAACTGGAATAGAAAAAATTAACTTCCAGAAACTAAGCAAAGAAAATTTCATTAGAAACAAAGAAGAGTGTAGAGCTGCTATGTTATGTTTGTCCTTCTGTATAGCAACGAATGCTAGATTATTTAAGAAAGTTGATATGACAGTGATGTGTTCTGCAGATGGATACTGTGAATACCATGGACAGAACACTGTGGAAGATCTAAGGAAAATTGTAACTGGAAGGACACTTATAATTAAAATCACCATGTTAATGCTCATCATATAATTGACCAGACATGACAGAAGTCTACGTTTTGGAAATCTACAAGTTTTGCAATATTGTGGATTTCCAAAACCATATCTCATAACCAGTGATATCAAGTTGGCGAAATTTGATAATATTTGTTTTCATATCAAATAACTTGCAATATTTAATTGTCAATGACTTTTGAGATATATCAGTTTAATTGCATTAACAACTCCTATTCAATTTTTCAACACTTCAGTTAGGGTTCCAGGGATTTGACAATTGAAATTTGAAATTTTTTTAAGGGTTGATAAGTGCTAATATTGTAACCACATGCAATGAACCTCAGATATTTGAGAGTTGAAGTATATAAACATTTTTTTGTAACCCTTGCTGATCTGAAATTTCAGTCTACCTCCTTCTGTGCTGAATGTCTCACTCGAATTGAGGAGTGAAATTTAAATTCTCAAATATTTTTGGAAAATGACTTGCATTTCGCTTTCATGATGTCATAGTTCAAACCTGGTAAATAAATATAAAGAAGGAATTTAAAAAATATTTACTTTTTATATTAAATGTGATGAGAAAAGGAGCTCAGCCAAGATATTTCCATGAGCTGCACATTAAATGTCAAAGAACCAGCCCCGTTATATTCTATCAGATACTGTAATCATTTCATAACAACTAGTCCATTTCAGTTCTTATTTGAATCATGTTAGATGAAATTTTTTAATCATTGCATGTGGTTTTCTCTGAACTAATTTCCTCATATTTTGAATGTGATGGGTGGGAGGAGATCTGCATACTTGTCCAAGAATAAGATTCAATAACATTTCTAGAAAACAAGAGGAATGTCAGAGGGGACACCACAGAAACGCTGTGAAAAAAGAAAGTCCCCAAAATACAACATTCAAAGAATTATCTGTTTCAATATACATGTGTTAATAAAACAAAGTTTCCAATCATCAAAATTTCTTCAGGAATAGCCTTGGTAATTCAAAAGAATATTTTTTTTATTGTTACATGGAGTAAGGTTGCCAAATAATGGATACACGCTTTGTGGCTGTTGCATATCCTAACCTTCATTTCTTAATAATTTAATGTAAAATAAATAATATTCTGGTTGAATTCTTACAATATGCAATTATTATTATTTACATTCAGACTAATGTCCTCATCTTAGTTGCTATTACAATGTTACAGTTGTTGTACCTTCTGGTTTCTGCTAGGGTCTTCTTGAATTATTATTACGGTTGTTGGAATGAGACATTTTTACTTGAGTAAATGCCCGGCTATAGGGAAAGAAAATAGTAACCTTTTTGTTTTAACAGAAATAAGATTTCCTCTTTCTTTATGGATTGTATAACTGAAGAAGGCTGTAGAATGAAGTGGCTGAAACATAGTAGTAACAACAAAACAAATGATTTCACTCATTGGAATAACTCTTGAAAAGATAATGTCTGTTCTTAAAAAAGAATCTATTTATCGATGTTAGGTATATAATTTCAGCTTTAACAGAATCTATGCATAAAACTCAACATGATTATCTCATGAAAATTAAAAATTCATAAGTATTGGAATGCAGAAAACTTTTTTCTTGTTTTGAACCAATTTTCTATTTTTTCTTGCACAAATTAAAGAGGCTTTACTAACCCAGCACATGAAAGTGAATATTAATCCTTTCATTTTGTTGTCCAGTGCTTTAACTTCTGAACTATATTGTAGAATTTATTTTCTTTATCTCTTGAGAAAGGCATGCAAAGGAATAAACAAACCATCCGCATATTGCTATTAATCTGGTTAAAAAGTTTTTGAACATGAAGATTGGAAATTCTTGTGAACCTTTCAGAGTATATAGAAAGTAGTTATTAGCTTTTCTTCCATCAAAGCATTCAAAATATTGAAAAAGAGGGAGGTTGATATCTCAAGAGCTGTTGAGAAATGTGTCTGCTATATGATTTAAAATTGAGCCTTCATTCACCTGAATCAACTCAATATCTGGAGACAGAAATATTGGCTGTACAACAATGTATGAATAGTTCTTCAATTTCCAGCATGGCACATCTGAAGCATTTGATAAATCTTCAAGTGGTTGATCATTGCAATTTGATCAAGCCAGCTCATGACAGCTGATCCACATTTGACCAGCTGAGAAATGGTGCATCCATTTAGCAGTACTCAATTTACCATTCTGTGTTAGTTTGCTGTAATTGTTTTTTGATTTTTTAGCTCAGAAATTGGAGAAAGCATTCAATAACAAAGTAATAACCAAAAGTGCTATGTGATTTTTCAAAAATGTTCATATGCATAGCAAGACATCATTACAGTTGATGAAAAAAAATTATAACCTGTATGTTTATGTGTAAATAAAGATATTATTGACATATCAAAGAAAGCGCTGAGTCAAAAATTTATAACTTTATTAGTTAGTGATGTGACATGCAAGGCAGTTTTTCCTGAGAACTTCTCAGTTTATATAAGATTATCACAACCAAAACATACCTAATGCAGCTGCAAAGAATAGTTGATGATATTAGCCAAGAATTATCACAATTGTGCAAAGCCTGCCTATTGTGAAACAATTTAAAACCTTCTATTGATTGCCAATGAAGAAACAGTTGCAATTGAAAATTCATCTGAAATAGTTCTGTAGCACCTATCCTACTGTCAGATTCTGACTAGTTTTGATCCC